ATTGTATATGATGAGTATTGAATAAGAGATTGAGGTGCATGTATTGTTTTGATGACTAAAATACCTAATTTCATGCTAATTTGATCTTCATGTAGACCCTACAAAAAGAATTTCCTACTTTTGGCATACTTCTAAAAATTATGGAGTGAAAAGAAATATATGAAGTAGCGATGCCACGTAGGTGTCATATCAATATGAAATGAAGTAGCTGAAGTAGCATTTTCAGAGAAATACACATACATTTTTATTTAGAGGAAATAGATATAACCTATACTTCCTCTACTTCTGCTATTTCATGATTAATTCTAGGTAAACAAACATGCCCCAAGTGTTAGACACTTAAAGTTTTGGGGTTGTCCTGTTCATATAAGGAAATAAATGATGGACAAATTAGAGTCTAGAATAAATAGTGGCCTATTTGTAGGCTATCCAAAAGAAAGTACTAGGTGTTATATCTATAATCCTAGTGAACATGCAATAACTTTAAGTAGAAATGTGTTCTTTTTGCAATATCAAATTGTTGGTCAAGAATTTATAACTCTAGAAGAAGAATCATCTTCTTTATTGTGAGTATTAGATGATAAAGTGGATGGAGATTTACCAACAAAATGTATTGTTTATACACCGATTACAATAAGGAGATCAAGTAAGGTTTTTTATCCACCTATATAGTACAGGCACCTCGATGAAATATATTTGATGAAAAATAATGATGACGATGAAGATTCTAGGGCTTACAAAGAAGCCATGTCAGAATAGATTCTAGTGAGTGGATTGATGGCATGAAAGCAGAAATAGACTCCACGTATCATAACAACATATGAACCTTCGTTGATCCACCTGTTGAGGGTAAAACCTATGGGATGTAAATGAATATTTTAAAAAAATATGAAGTTTATAAAAATGTAGAGATTATAATGCTTGGTTAGTTGCGAAAGGTTATACTCAAAGAGAGGGAATTGACTACAAGAAAATATTTCCTTCATTGTAATGTTAAAAGTCTATTCATATCCTTTTGGATATTGCAACATACTATGGCTATGAGAGATGGCAAATGCATGTGAAAATAGCTTTTGTTAGTGGATATATTGGCGAATATATTTAGAGGCAACAACCAAAAGGTTATGTATATAAAGCTCAATAAATTATGGTTTGCCAATTGAATCAGACAATTTATTGACTTAAACAAGCTTCAAGATGTTAAAATAAATTTTTTGATAAAATGATTAAGGAATATAATTTTGTCCATAATCCTAAAGAAGTTTGTGTCTATGAGAAACAATAAATAATTCTATTGTGTCCCTAGTGCTTTATGTTGATGACATACTACTCATTGGGAATGATGTGGAGATGATGATATTGATTAAATTATGGCTCTTAAATAAGTTCTCTACGAAAGATTTCAATCAAGAATCCTATGCATCGGGTCTTAAGCTAGAGAAAGAGGCATGTAGGATTGTCACGGTCAACTTATGTAGACAAGATCCTCAAAAGGTTAAACGTGTAAAATTCTAAGAAATGATTACTTCTTACTAGACATGGAATGTCACTCTCTAAGGAAATATTCCTAAAACTAAAAAGTAGATTGAGTATTTTAGAAATATACCATATGATCAGCAGTTGGTAGTTTGATGTACGCTATGTTGTGTTCTAGACCTAACATAGCAATGTTGTTGGTCTTATAAGTAGATTTTAGGTCAATCCTAGTGAGAAACTTTGAAACGCGGAGAAAGCCATGCTTAAATTTTACGTAGAACTAAATATTATTGTTTAGTTTATGACACAAATGACATGAGCATTGAAAGATATATTGATTCTGATTTTCAATTCGATTCTGATGATATAAATTCTACATATTTATATGTTTACATCATCGATAATGGTGTATTTAGTTAGAGAAGTGTCAAGCAAAATATCACCGTTGATTCTACAACCGAGTTAGAATATGTAGTAGCAAGTGAGGCTACGAAAGTAGGAGCATGGATAAATAAGTTTGTCTATGACCTTGGCATGGTTCCTGCTAGTGTATTTCTAATTCCACTAATCAGCGATAACAGTAAAGTTGTTGTTCAAATTAAGCAACCGAGGGCTCATGAGAAGTCTAAGCATATTAGAAGGAAATATCATTTCATTAAGAGATTCACAATAAGAAGGATGTAGAAGCTCAAAAGATTTCTACAATGGATAACATTGCAAATGCTTTCACGAATCCATACCGCAAAAGGTTTTTGATAGACTTTTAGAAAAGATGGGAGTTAGAATAGTATCTAATTGGATGTGAGGGCAAGTGGGAGATTGCTAGAGTAGTGTTATATACCATTGAACATTCAATACATTTTATGTAATATTTTTAATATCAATTAAATTTTATTGTCATAGAAATATTGCTTGAATGTCTTTTATATAATTGTTATATTATCCTTAAAATTTAATTTAGTTGATCGTGCATAGATACTTTCTTGGAGATGTGATCTAATATAGAGATTTCTTAAATTTGTTCTTAACCTATAGCTCGTAAAGGATAACTTTATTATACTAGGTTACATTGCATGACAATGACATGTGAGACGTCGGGGGGTCTCAACCATCAAGAATAAAAATTCATCGGGTGTTTGTCTTAGGCACATACTGCGATATGTGTAGCACTAGATGATATTTGAATTCTCTAAAATGAGTTACCTAAGACAGAGAGAATTCGAATTGTTTCATGGTCCCTTTGACTTGATGATATTGTCATTTCTAATTTGGTAATTTAGTATGCTTGGATATGATGGTTAAACTTATTTTAAGAGTGATATGCAGCCTAAAATGTTGGGTAATCATATTTTATTTAGGAAAATGATGGATATCTAAATAGAATATAATATGCTCATTTGATGAGTTAATTTATTATGCATATCCTATGAACCTATTAAGTTCCCATCGATAGGTGGTCTTGAAAATTAATTTTCAAACTTTATTTTCTTATAATAATAAAATATTTTAACGTTTCAAGATGATCTTTATTAATGTTCATAGGAATTATAATTTTAGGCATGAGTAAATAGGTGATTTGTTCTGCTCTGTTCTGCTCAATAAAGTTGCCTAAAGAAAATTGATATTGGAGAGTACTGAATTTAAGATAATATTATTTATAAATATTTAATCCCATATTATGGAAGAGTCTTAATGAAAATTTGGTCGGATAGAAATTTGATTATTAAATTAAAATTATTAATTTAATTAGTAAATGGTTCTCAATATGGAACCCAATCGGTGTCACTAATGTCATTAGAGAGAAGGTTTACAAAAAATGTACATAAAATACAAATTCTACTCTATCTTTAATTGTTATGGGTAGAGGTTTTGAATAAATTTATTCTATTTTTAATTGTTATGGATAGAGTTTGAGCAATTGAGAATTGTTTAAAATTAAAATCTATAAGGCTAGTTTAATCCTATATATGGTTCATGTGTAGCCTTATGAATAGAGTAGGAAAATAAAAAATTAAGAACCTATCTCTCAGTATTGTTCCTCTTCAATGATGGATGAAATTTAGTTCGAGGTTTTTTCTTCTAAGGAAGCTATTTTGGTTGATTTTGGGATAGAGAATTATAGAGAATTAGAAAGCGGCTCAGATTTTCATCTAAATATTAATTAATTTTGATTAATCTACATGATATGCATGTTCCACTGCCTTATATGTCATGTATCCAATAGGATCATTATGGGGAGTATGAACCTCATCCAAGTCCTTGCACTGTGAAGGTGATGACTTTCTCTTTAGTCTCTGCTCTTGTCGTTTACTAGAGTCTTGAGCAAGGTTAACTTATACTCGACGAGCATAGGTCTTTCTGACTTGCAAGTTATCGCCAAACATCAAGGGACCTCCATGGATAATGTGAATCACGTTCAACTTCTCACTATGGGGCGTATTGTCGAGACTTGATTAACTTTCGAGTCTCTCCTTGACTGGTCTTCGAGCATTGTCATTAATGAATTTAATAAGGTGACAATTTTAATTAGAGATTCAATCTCTGTATATTAGGTGGAACAATTCATGGTGGAGTGCCCATGGTCACCTTGATAATCGCAAAATTTGTCTAGTCCCTTTTTCCAGGTCTGGACTTCAAGCCTTCGGTCCATTTGAAGTAAGGTTGTCCTTTATCTCCATGAAAATATTTGCCTTTGAGGTGTTTAGAGGAGGTGATTCACTCTTCGCTGTCTTCTCTCGGGAGGAGTCCTGCTCTCTCTTTCTATTAAGCTGTTTGTGAAGGTCATTTCCCCCTTTTTGTTTCCCTTTACATCTGTGTCTTTTCTTCTTCTCTTGAAAAGGAAACTCTCTACAATGTCATAAGGCAGGAGCTTAATTAAGGGTCTTAATTGAACCTTGATTGGTTAGCGTTTCCCTTTTTTATATACTAGCCAGAATCAAACACAGGATTATGGGGTCATTATATTGGAACTTCGCTACCGTCTGGATAATTAACAGTGGGCTATTTCTGTTTATATTGTATCCCTCTTTTGGTAGGTTTATGATTAATAATTTGAATTTCTTGATTGCCACGTGTTGTTACTATATTGGCTGCTAATTTTGACCCATATCACTATCCTAGATTGTAGAACTATCATGAAAATTAAAACAAATGGGGTGAACTCAAAATACTAAGAATTATCTTTTAGTGAATTGGATGACTGAAAGCAAATTTTACAAAATGAAGAATATGAAAAATATTATTAATATGTAGGAAACAGGATAATGAAAACTTTGATCTCGCCCAATACAAGGAGATGTCGTTTGTGTGTTGGAGGTATTAGCAGTCATGCAATGGTAAGTTGACCTGAAATCAGAACTTAATTAACTTTTGCTTATCTTCAAGGATAAAGATAAGATAGTTCTTAATTAGTAAGAAACAATATTTCCATGCTGATAACTGCAATGTAGAGGAAATCAATATGCATAGCTAATGCAATGAAATTATTATTACTGCTAAGTAATAGTTGTAATGATCAAATGCAGATTGCTGCTGGTCTGCTACTAGGATCAGCATGTTTTGCTGCGGGACCAACCATTTATTTCCTCAGAGACATTGGTCGGTGCAAATACATGGTTAGGGACTGCAACCTAACATTTCTTTCAATAGGATCTGCTCTCATTGCTTGGTGCTGCATCGTTACTCCCTTGTATTTCATTCTCTCACATTTCTTTGCACGGTAATGTAAAATTATCATCTTTAAGTATATTCTTATTGTCTTTGCTTTTATTTTAAGGAAAAGGAAGACGACCCAGCTGCTTTTCTATTGACTTAATTAAATTCTTGCGCAGACGTCGCTAAGATGTGCTGGACGAAGAGTGCTACTGTTGGGATCAATTGATGACTTGAAGTTTGTTTGTCTTTGACATTGACTACGTTATTTGTCTAGCTCTTATCGAGCATTATATTGTTGGATGTTAATTAGCTATCTTATTTGTCTCTGCCTTATGTTATGCAAGACATGATTATTGTTATCTTAGTAATTATTGAATCAGAAGTTATTCATATTCATAATATTTGATCCTCTTGAAGTTATCCCTATTATACTAGGACTTCTTTTCTACTCAATCAATTCACAATTATTCCTCACTATCTAATTTCGACAAATTTATCTTCTGTAAATGTTGATGGAGCCTAGGGAAGGAAACCCAAATCTTAATCATCAGAATAGTCTTGCTCACCTCTCATGCTATCAATAAACAAACTGAAATCTCTTCATGCACTTTTACATCAAAAGGTCTAGATTACAATGTGAAAAAAAAAGAACCAGGGGTTAAACATTAAATAATCTCACAGAGTTTGTTTCTATTCTTGTTAAAAATGGTTGAGCAAATTAACCAAATAATCAATGTGTATAACGGGTGACAATTGGCCATTAGTGAAGAATTAATAGGTTATTATTAGAATTTAAATTAGGGCAATGAATGGCTTTAATTTGTAGTTAAAGGGAAAAATAATTAGGCAGATTTTAGGGATGGAGATCATGGAGATAATAGCCTATATAAAGAGTGGTTTTCTTTGTGAAAGAACACATAGAAAAAGAGATAAACCCTTTCACCGGAGCCCCCAAAATATCCTATATTCTCTTCTTAGTTTCAATATTGTTATATGTCTTTTAATTCCATGTTGAATACAATAACTCTCAAATTCTTTAGAGTTATATCCAACACCTTTATCAGTTCGTAATATTATGATTTCTTTTCAAGTTGATTTTCAACTTCTATTATATATCTTTTAAAACATTCAAAAGCTTTTAATTTTCAAGAGGTAAAATAGACATTGAAAACTTAGAATAATCATCTATAAGATAATAAAATACTACAATGAATTCTAATATTTTTGGGAGGAACATTATTAACTTCAAACTATATTTTAAATAAAATTCCTACCAAATCAGTTGCAATTATACCTTATGAGTTTGGGGATGTATAGCCCATGTTCTTATTGCAACTCAACTAAGAGATAAGTTGACTTTAAAACATTAAAGTGTAGATTAATAGGGTATTCAATAAAAAAATCAAAAGGTTATATGTCCTATAATAAAAATAGAGTCATTAAAAGCAGAGATGCAAGACTTTTAGAAAAAATAGAGAAAGATGAACAATTTTAAGAGGAAACAAAACCACTGACTGTGATAAATGATGATTATTACATTAATTTCCCCACTAATGATCTTAATATTGTGAATGAACCTAACCTTCAAAATAATGAAACATTTATGGAAAATTATGAACCTTAGCATAGAGGTAATTTAAATAATAGGCTTAGAACACAACTTGTTTGGATGGATGATTACTATTTGTATTCTTGTGAACTATCTTGTTCCTCGATAGATGCAAAAATAGAAGAATAAGATCCCTTAAACTTCTCTAAAGTGATGAAATCACATGAATCAGATCCTTGGCTAGAAGACATGAGAGAAGAACTTGATTTCATAGAAAAAACAATATTTGGGAGTTTAGTGATCTACCAGAAAATATAAAAGCCGTAGGATGTAAGTGTGTGCTCAAAAAGAAATATCGTATTAACGGATCTATTTATAAATTCAAAGCATGATTAGAATTATTCTCCTGCAGCTAAATTTATATCCATTAGGATTATTTTGGCATATTATTACATATCTTGATTTAGAGTTATTTCAAATGGATGTTAAAATAGCATTCCTCAACAGAGAATTGATGGAAGTGGATATATATAACGACTTGAAGGGTTTTAGATAAAAGGACTAAAACATAAAGTTTATAAGTTAATAAAATCTCCATATGGTTAAAAACATTCTTCTAGACAATAATATATCAAGTTTCATAATGCTGGTCGCCAAACTTGGTCTTGCTCAAAATAAATTAGATAATTGTATATCTATCTTGAAATGTGGGAGCAAGTTCGCTATATTATCTTTGTATGTGGATGATATATTGCTTATCGAAAATGACATATAAATTTTGAACAGGATCAAGTCAGATCTCAATGAAGGGTTTAAGATGAAAGGCATGGGAGATACACTATATATTCTTAGAATTCAGATAATTCGTGATAGACAGTCTAGAATGTTAAGTTTAAGCTAAGAAAAGTTTAAAATCAATTCTTAAAAGATTTGGAGTGGAGAATTACAATGCTATACCAACTCCTTTGGTTATAGGAAAAAGATTATGTAAAGAACAAATTCCTAAAGAGAGGCAGAAGCTATTAGATGTTCCTTATGCTCAAGCAATTAGAAACTTGTATGCAATGTTAGGCACCAGACCTGGTTTAGCTTATGCTATAAATCTAGTTAGCCGCTATCAAAGTAATCCAATATAATCACACTAGGAAGTTGTTAATAAGATTATAAAGTATATCGGAGACACATTGACTCATGGATTGATTTACCAAGCAAGTTTTTTTGAAATCGTCGGTTACTCCAATGCAGACTTTGGTTGTGATAAGAATGATGAAAGTGCACTTCAAGACACTTGCTCATCTTTGGAGGAGGAGCTGTTTCTTGGAGTAGCAAGAAATAAGGGTGTGTTGTTTTGATATAAATAAAAAGCTGAATATGTAGCTTGCTGTATGACAACTACATATGTTGTTTGGATAAGACGATTTTTTGGTTGATCCAGATCTCAATTTGTTAAAAGGACCTATTGATATTATTGTTATAACTAGTCAATGATTAGCCTGATCAATAGTGGAGCGAATAATTCCAAAGGAAAACACATTGAGATCGAGAATCATTAGACTCAAGATATCATATAAAAGGGAGAAGTTAAAGTAACTTACATCCCTACTATAATTATGATTGTTGATCCTTGAACAAAAGGAATGCAAGCGAAAAGTTTTATCAAACACATAAGTTTGATGAGACTTAGAAATAAATAAGTTCAGAAAAATTTTATGAATAATGAAATGAGAATTACTCTTCACAGATAGTGGGAATAATGATAAGAATAAAATATCTAATCTCTCGGATAGTGGGAGAGATATCATTTAGTTAATTTGGCCAAGTTAGAGATGTTAGAAATGGTTGACAAAATTAACCAAATAATCAACGTGTATAATAGCGGTGATAATTGGTCATCAGTGGAGAATTAATGGGTCACTATTAAAAATTAAATTAGGGCAATGAATGACTTTAATTTGTATTTAATGGGAAAAATAGTTAGGCTGATTTTAGGGTAGAGATGATGGGGAAAATTGCCTATATAAAGAGTGGTTTTCTTCGTGAAAGATCACACAGAAAAAGAAATAAACCCTTTCACTAGAGCCCCTAGAATATCCTATATTTTCCTATTAGTTTCAATAATTCTGGCTCTTTTCCATTGATAGTTTGGAATCAAGTATCATCTTACATTTTCTGCTTGAATGAACATTAAAATAGTAAGAAAAAATATATTAGATATTAAATGTTATGATATAGATTCAAAGTACAATTACAATTGAAATTATTGAAACAAGCCAAGGCTAGATCAGTTTCGAAGGTGAAAAGCATTTGCACGTTATGATTCTACCTATTGCATGTTGTAATGATTTGAATTTGAGGCATGTTTTCGGTAAAAGTTTCCTTCATTGCTGAATTCATTATAATATTAACCGTTTACAAAGAATTCAAATTTTAACAAAAGAAAATGAAAGATTACAACTTTCTCGAAAATAACACAAGGTTTACAAAGAATTCAAATTTTAACAAAAGAAAATGAAAGATTACAACTTTCTCGAAAATAACACAAGATCCGTTCGTCGTTTCTTGCTTGACAACTTTCTCGAAAATAACACAAGATCCGTTCGTCGTTTCTTGCTTGCGTGGGTCTTTAGCCGGTGACGTCGATATCCGTGGACTACCTGGCAATCAGATCAGATCCAGAACTCCGTTGATTTGCGAAGGAATCTAGAAGCAGAAGCGCTTTTCTCGGCAACGGCGAGATAATTGCTCTTCTTAGGATTATCGCAACGGGATAATCCTAAGGAACGGATGCGGGTGATGTAGATCTGAAGAATCTCTCTCTTGCGTTGAAGAACTCGATCACTCTTCAATCCGGTAGGACTTCGCTAATTCTCCAAAATTCCAGCTCTAGAAAAATGAGGGCCTGTGGCTGTATTTATAGGCTCGGGAGGAGTTCGGGTGGTTAAAACTGCACAAAAACCCATTTTTAGGCCTGGAGACACCCCTGGGTGTCTCAGCGAGGCCGAGACACCTTGGGGTGTCTCGCTTGTGCCGAGACACCTTGGGGTGTCTCAACTCAGGCTAAGACGCTTTTTTCGTGCACTTGTCCGTTTCCGCCGTAACTTCTTCGTCCGAACTCGGATTTGAGTGATTCAAACTGCGTTGGAAAGCCGACGAGGAGATTTGTAAGTTCCGATGATTAGATCATTGTGGATTAAACCAGAACACATACGACACTTTCCCTTTTATAAGTGATGCGGGGCTCCCGATCAGTTCATATCCTCAGTATTCTGAAATTCCGTAACTTCACTTAGTTCATCGATTCACTTCAAGCATTCATCGACGTCAATTAAGCTTCTGTGACTTAGATAGTGACGTTCCTTATTTTCTCTTAGATTTGAGCTGCTCACGGAGACCTATAGGCAATTTTTAATGCCTACAGATACCCCCTCCAAAGCATTCCAGACTCGTTTCTTTTATAAAAGAGGCTGGAATATTTTGGATGTGATTAGTCTAACCTTTGATCGGTGTAAAGGACCTTTAATTAGCTTCAACTCTTGGCTCCTTCGATTTTCAGTCTATTCGATGTTTTGACGAATAGCTGAAGTCCTTCTTACGCTGCGTTTATCGTCTGGCCGTCATCGGAGTCTCGAGTTTAAAACTGATGAGCCGAGTTTGGCTCGTGTCATTGCGTTAACTTAGAACTGACTCTCTCCGTCGCATCGACTCTC